CTCTCCCGTCTCTCCCCATCTCTCCCGTCTCCCACCTCTCCCGTCTCTCCCCATCTCTCCCGTCTCCCACCTCTCCCGTCTCTCCCCATCTCTCCCCGCCTCTCCCACAGTTCTCTCCACCTCCTCACTGCTCTCTGACCTTTTGTTTTTTCGTTACTCATTAGAGGCTTAACCTCATCTGTCCGGGGAATCTGACCACCCGTAGTGGTCGCGAATCCACCGTTTCAATCTCAAATGTTCTCGCCGTTCGTTCGTTTGGTTTCAATCTCGTCTGAGTCACTGCTCTTCTGACCTATCCCTTGCTCTGCGCAAGTCGCTAGTGGTCGTTTGTGATTGTCCATTCGAGGAGAATATACAATAAAAATCCCTTCCTCTAACCGTGCGGCGAAAGGCATGGGCAGTAAGAGTGTATGTTTATACATCGAACAATATAGTAAAACAGGAAGTGTAATGCAGCAATTTAACCATGAAAAGTGAACAGAATTACTTATATTTTGTGAAAAAGTGGAAATATTTTTTTACGTTATTTTATTATTTAAGGTGACGTAATCACTTTAAGGCTAATATCATGAGTCGAGTGAATCGATCGTGTGGTGATATCATAGGTCGCAGGCTACCATCAGAGCTGAGATTGAGATGGGGCTGACTCCGAGCAAGCAAGTTCAGCCGAGCCTCGTCGTCGCCATGGCAAAGACCTTTGGCGTGACCTTCGCCGCGGGATCGTTCTTCAAGCTTCTCAACGACCTCCTGACCTTCGTCAGTCCTCAGATTCTCAAGTAAGTGTCACGGTGGTACTGTGATGAGCGTATCCGTGCTGTTATCTGTTACACTATGCTAGAATGTCTATTATAATAGTTGTTGATGTCTAAAATTAGAATTAGTATCTTACGTGGTTTCTATTAGAAATCCCTACTTGTAGATGTTTAATGTTCGAAATGATGCTAATACTAATAATGTTCGAAATAATCTTAATGAATATTACAGAGTAAATACACAGGCACTGTGTGATACTTATTACTTATTCAGTATTGAGTATATTTCTGAGCTACACTTTCAGTACTGTCTAGGGGGATTATGCACCTTAGATTAGCTATTAACCACTACTCTGTGGATGTAGTGTGGGTTGGGGTTAAGGTTAGGTATTGTCTAGCGCAGGGCACAAGCGTATTTGGGCTCGAGTGGGTAGATTTTGAATGTTTATCGTGTGTGATGAGGCGGATGGATCGAGTGCGGCATCATCTCTGTACTCTAAATAACACTTGCATGCAAACTAATGATTCGTGCTAACCCAAGAATTCAGCTGGGTTGTGATGGGTGTGACCACACTCGATGCTTGATACAATTCTATTAACATAACAATATATCGAACAAGTAATAATGAACTGACGTGGCATCGTAGCACGCAATAGTGTTTTAAAAATTTACATAACGTGAATTGCTGTTTTTTATCACGTGCTCTATTCAGCATATGGCATGCACTATCTTATGCACTATGCTTTATCTATTACCTCCTCCCTGCTCACTATTATACCTTCTCCCTCACCTCCTTCCTGCCCATTATTATACCTTCTCCCTCACCTCCTCCCTGCCCATTATTTTACCTTCTCCCTCACCTCCTCCCTGCCCATTATTATACCTTCTTCCCCCTCCCCCTCCCCTCACCATCATACCTTCCTCCTCCTCCTCCCCTCACCATCATACCTTCCTCCTCCTCCCTCTCCCCTCACCATCATACCTTCCTCCTCCTCCTCCCCTCACC